GAACCCACAGAACAAAGCACTCCCGTTCGGAAAGGGCTGAACCCCATCAACCCCTGAGCACCCTGGTCCTGCTGCCCCAGTGCTTGCAGGGGTCCCTCAGCAGCCCCATTGCCCTGAGCAGGGTGCCCTTAGAGTGGGCAGGGTAGCCAGGCAAGAAGAGGAGGGCAGCCTCCACCTCCCAGAGCCAGCAGGTTGCTCTGGTGATCCCCAAGCTGGAGGGAGCCAGGGAGCAGGCACCCTGTGCTGGTGCCGAAGCCACAAACTGCTGTCGGGGGGTCCCTGTGCTGGGATTTGCTTTGCTCCCACCTGTACCTCACCTTTGCAGCCACTGGGCTGCGAGGAGCAGCCGGGTGGCTGTTGAGGTGATGGTGGCATGACTTGGCACCTGTGCTGGAGCAGGGACCCTGGGGGTGGCATCCTCTGGAACCCACAGGGATGGGGGGGCACTGGCAAGAGACTCTCCCATCACTCCAGCAGGTTCTGGTGGGACCCCGGCAATGGAGCAAGAGGAGAAGCTGTTTGAGGGGAACCCACTGGACATGAGACTCCAGGCAATGCCCGACCCCCATGGCACAGGTGATGTCCTGCAAGTCCTGGCTGCTCTGGCACCCTGGGGACATCACAGCCCCCATGTCCTTGGACTCCCGGGGCTGAGGTGCCACTTGCACAGGGCCCAGTGCGGTGCTGGTGCTGGTGATGCCGTGCCCAGCACTGGCTGCTGCCGTGGTTGTGGTCCGGTGAAGGGCCTCATTGGGCAGCTGGGAGGGATGGATGGGGGTCCAGGGCTTGGCCTCCTGCTTCCCTCCATAGTGCTCCTGTGCCTGGAGGGAGTATGGAGCCCATGGTGGCACTGCTAGCAGTGTGGTGTGATGCAGCTTTGTCTTCCTCAGGAAAGGGCTGGGATGGTGCAAAGGGCGAGGTCGTGGTGAAAATAGAACCAGAGGATGAATACTACATTGGGTTTTCCCAGGGCCTGGAGGCCACTGGCCCCAGTGTCCCTGGCACTGGTGAGCAGAGCAGAAGGCTGGGTGAGGGCTATGAGCTCTGCAAGAGCCATGGCCCCGGGGACTGAGTCCCCTGTCCTGGATCAAGTCCCCGGTCCCATACTGTCTGCTCTGGGTAGCACCTTCCCCCCCTTCCTCCTTTCCACAGGCATCAAGGCTGAGGTGGTCGGGAAAAGCGAGGATGATGGGGCATATGGAAATTACAGTCCTGGCTCCCCGGGGCAGGATGTGACCCCCCTTGACATGGCCTGTAAGTGGAGTGGGGTACCCAGGGGGCACAGACTGGGATGACGGGGGGTGGTGAGCTGGGCAGTGGGCACCAGTCAGGCATGTACCTGGGGAAGTCACCCTCTTAATCCCCTTCGAGTGCCACCTAGGACATGGTGACTCTGTCCTGTGCCACCCTGGGGACATGAGCCTCAGTGGGTGGCCATGTGAGCCAGCTGGGGTGTGAAGCCCATCTGCATCGCCTCTGGCCCCACCGGCACCCGCCCAGCACCGCATTCTGCTCTCCAGGCGATGCCAAGCCCGAGCTCATCGTGAAGGTGGAGCCAGAAGAGCTGCACATCGGGTGTCCCCCAGGAGCTCCAGGCCATTGCGGTGGCGCAGGTGAGCACCGGGGCAGCTCCAAGGGTCTGGCAGGATGGAGGGATGTTGAGGTGAGTTCCCTGGCTCCCTGAGCCCGGGGCAAGGGAGGGGGCCTCCGGC